TGTATGAGAACTAAGTCCAAGTAAGTGACGTTCAACTGTTTCAGCGAGTGGTGAATCATCTCCAGAGCCTTCTTCTGATTGCTGCCGTTTGGCCACACTTTTGTGGTGATGAACAGCTCTTCGCGTTTGAGTACACCGGCGGCGATCTGGGCGTGAATACCCTCTCCGACCTCTTTCTCGTTCTCGTAGATGTAAGCCGTGTCGATGTGTCTGTAGCCGACCTCCAGGGCGTCCTTCACGGCCTGTTTTACGGGGTCCCCCTTCGCCTGCCACGTGCCCAGACCTATCTCTGGCATCTCATACCCGGTGTTCAGTTTGATCATCGGCGCTGTTGTGGATTAAATGATGTAAATTTGTATTAATTAATATAATAGTTAATTGGTTTTACTTTTAGCCGAGACGACAGCCAGAGTCAGCGCTAATATCACTACCACTTTCATCGTGTGTCAGGAATTGTATGGCTTTTCACTGTTTGAATGAATGACAACTGATTTGTCAATTGTTGTATCGCTTTATATAGTAAATAGTTGTCCGGAATTCTCCTTTAATAGTAAATCAATAGAAATTGTGTTGATTTTGTCAGTAATAACACATTTGCACACTTGTTGTCAATGATTTTTACTCAGATTTTAATCAATTTGTATTAACTAATTATTAATAAACTATTGACGGTATTGTAATTTATTTGCAAGTTGCTTTTTTAGCCCATTGATAATTTGCACGTTCGGTGCATTGGTTTAATCTAATCAAAATGAATTACCTTTTTGTAAACAATTCCTTAATACTAATTGTTATATTATTTGTTAGTCTAAAGTCTGTTAAGTCCGCCGTTTTTGATATTCTTTATATCATTTTCACTAAAATACTATCAATTCATTAAATCTAACAAACAATGTGTTTAAATAGCGAAATGCATGAATCAATATTTGGCAGTTATTTCAGTTTTACTTACATTAGTGTTATAAATGTAATTATATTTAATTATTAGCTAATTATGTAATATTCCGGGAAAAAATCATTTCAAAAAATATTAATTCTCAAACTAATCAAATAAGTAAACGTAAATATAAATGTATGAATTAGAAATAAGCTTAATAAATTAAAAATACAATAATTGACAATTATTAATTGTTAATCAGTAAACTCAATATTCTAATAATCACTATTAATTAAACTTTGTCTTCTAATTAACCTTTTGGTTATTGATTGAGAGCCATATCGACGACAATAGACGTGTATATCATATCTAATTTCAGGATTAATAGAGAAATTGTTTTTTTGTGCAAAACTATTAATAGTTATATAGTTGTAGTTTCAAGGAAAGTGACAATAAGTGACAATAAACTACTTAACTTTTGTCTCTCCGTCTCAAAGTCCGTCTCACTATTACTTTCGCAAACTTTATCAATGAATCCCATTATTTTGTGACCAATATATTGCTATATAGTACTGACAAATAAATTAATAGGTTAGATCACTAATACGGTAAATTAATCTGGATTAATATAGCAATAGACAATGCTTAATTCATCATAATTTACTAACTTGGTAAAAATGTAATACTTTATTAACCTTATTTAAAAAAGATTTATTTAGTAATATGTTTAAAATGTGAGTACAAATGGAAAGTTTATAACATTAAATACATAACAATAGGTGTTTTGATAGTAATCTATATTTTGGGGATTTGTTGCATCTCCTCATCGGTTAGAGTAAAGTCAAAGACTTCAAAGTCCTCTTTGATGTACTGTTTCTTAACACTCTTAGGGATGACAATCACTCCCCTCTGGATCTGCCATCTGATCATCACTTGGGCGGCGCTCTTGTTATGCTTCTGCCCGATGGCCATAAGTTTGGGGTTCTTCACGAGACTCCCGGTGCCGAGCGGTGAATACGCGGTGACAGTGATGTTGTGTGAGTGCGAGTACTTCAGATAACCGGCGCTCTCGGCCTTCGGGTTGGACATGATCTGGTCGTTGGCCGGTTTGACGGTCGCCTTCGACACCAAATTGTCGGTCTGTTGTTCGTTGAAGTTTGAGATACCGATAGAGCGGACCAACTTCTGGTGGAAGGCGTCTTCGCAGCCCTTATAGGAGCCCACGTAGTCGTCCCACGGGAAGTGCACGAGCACCAGATCCAGGTACGTCAGATTCATCTTGGTCAGCGACTCGTGGATCGACTGCAACGCCTTGGCCTGAGCGTCGGCCTTCTGGGGCCACACTTTGGTCGTCACGAACAGGTCTTCTCGTTTAATAATACCCGCTTTGATGGACTCGGCGATGGCCTGACCCACCTCTGCCTCATTGCCGTAGTCGGAGGCGGTGTCGATGTGTCTGTAGCCGATCTCAATGGCGTCTTTGACGGCCTGTTTCACTTC